CCCCAAAACCCCAAAACCCCAAAACCCCAAAACCCCTAAATCCCAAAAAGTTGTTTAAACTTATATATTAAAAATTAGATGGAGAATTTACCGAAGACTCTAATTACAGGGCTAGGAGAAGTTTTAGGTATTGTAGGAGTAGAAACGAGGACGATTCAAGTGCAAATTATGAAGAAAATAAAATAGTTTCGGTGAATGATTCAGAAGAATGAATGATGTACAGTCAAAGTTCCTTGTATGAATTAGGATTTGTTAAAGGCTCTAATAATGAAATTGTAAAAAATTGAGAGAGTCCTACCATTGAAGAGGAAAAGGCTAAAAGTTTAGATGGGATAGATATGACAATCGGTTTTCCAGCTTATCAAAAATTAAAGGTATAATATATCAACTTGAAAACAAACTTTCTAACTTAAAAATTGATTACATTATAGAAGAGAATAAAAGTGACTGAACTCCAGAGATTTCAGAAGCTCAAAAAATAACCAAGAATAGATTCCGTGCTCGAGAACTTAGAAGCATCTCAAGGTTAAGTAATCCAGTGCCTAGTTATAAGAAGACAAGGAGAAGCTTAGTAAGAGATAAGATGCTAAAACACAATTTGTAAACCAGGGACTATAAGGAGAAGAAGTTTAGATAGCATGTTATGAAACATTTCAATAGTGAGGAGTAATAGCTCAAGGATAAGCAACATGAATAGCTTATATAGTGATTCAAGTAATAGTATAAGACCTAACTAGATAAGCTATCCAAGAGATTCTCAAAGCAATAATTTGAGGAATAGTCAAATAAATATCCCAAATAATGATCAGATGAGTGAATTTACTATTAATCAAGAGAGAAGAAGTCTAACAGAAATCTTTCTAGTCCAAAAATAGTATTAGATAGAGCACCAAATTCCATTTGGAATTCCACCAGACCAGGAATCTTCAAGGCAATATTGGATTTTGTTTATTCAGTCACTATTTTTATTCTTTATCTGCTAAATTCAGGAGAAGACTGAGGTTCTCATATAAATGGTATTATCTTGACAGAGATAATCCTTCAATTGGTTGTCTTTAATGGTATCAGATTAGTATTACTAATATTAATAATTTTATTGAAAGCAAGAGCCAACCGCAATCAAGATAGGTCAAGAATTCAGGAGGTTAACCTACTCTTCCCAAAACTACAGCTCTTAATTCTGAATTCTCCGAACTTACCAGCGAAGACCTATGCATAATCTGCTTCTCAAATTTCAGCCCTGAATCTCCTGCTGTCTTCCTTCCCTGAAGTAAATCTCACCTATTCCACGCACAATGTATCAGAGAGTGGCTGATCTGAAGGCTAAGTTGTCCTATCTGAAAATCGCCTGTAACTTTAAAAGCCATCAAAGCTGCAGTCAAAATTTTGAAGAAGAACAACAGAAGGTTTAAATGTTAGAATTTGTCTCAATTTTAATGAACGAGCACGGGGTTTTGGGGTTTTGGGGTTTTGGGG